CGACCTCCATGTCTTTCTAAGGCTAGCTGTGAGATCAAACCGAGCACCCATCCGACCTCCATGTCTATGTAAGGCTAGCTGTGAGATCAAACCGAGCACCCATCCGACTTCCATGCCTATCTTAGGCTAGCTGTGAGATCAAACCGAGCACCCATCCGACCTCCATGCCTATCTTAGGCTAGCTGTGTTGAGATCAAACCGAGCACCCCATATCGACCTTCATGTCTATGTAAGGCTAGCTGTGAAATCAAACCGGGCACCCCTCCGACCTCCATGTCTATCGAAGACTAGCTGTGAGATCAAACCTAGCACCCCTTCCGACCTCCATGTCTATCTAAGACTAGCTGTAAGATCAAACCAGGCACCCCTTCGACCTCCAAGTCTTTCTAAGGCTAGCTGTGAGATCAAACCGGGCACCCCTCCGACCTCCATGTTTGACAACGCAGCTAGCAAGGAGCTGGCTGCTTTGACAGATGGTTCTTTCTCAGTCTCTGACCACTTTCTTGAGACAAGTGTCTCACAAGGAATGTAAGGGAAGGGGGTCTTTTCAGCTACAATGTTCCAGGCTAGTGGCAAATGTGTGGAGATGAAGAAAAGTGCTGTCTATCAAAGCAGATGTCTCTTTGCTAGCTGCGTTGTTGGAGAGCCATGAAGGGAGGAGGAGAGTTCTGTCCAACCTCACGGCTAGACTTAGCACTTAGGAAGATGGGACAAAGTACACATTTGCTGTCCCCTAAGAGCAGAACACAATAAAAATGAAAGTGAGACTTGGTTCGGCTGAACAAAAACTTTCCTTGAAATATATCTTTTAAAGCGGAACTAAACCTTCTATTTGTTTCAGCCAAGGAAACTGCCATCTTATCCTCTGTTTGATCTGCAACTGCCAATGTGCTGCACGTGTGATCAGTTATGAGACCAGCCATTTGATGGTCTGACAGGTTGGTTAAGACACCAGCAAATGTGACAGTTATCATTACCATCATGCAGGTAATGTATTTTGAAACCATTAAATTGATGGTTTCAGTTCTGCTTTAACAGCCACAAAGAATGCAAACCTACTTTATGTGCATCAATACCCAGATATTGCAAAGCCTGTGAGTTCAACTGATACCATACATACGGATGTTGGTTAAGAAGAGCATGTCCTGAGGGTCTGGTATATGTTTCATATTGTGAATGTTTACTAAGATGAAAAAAATCTATTTACCATCCCGCTAAATAGTTCCGCATTCCATTTGTTAATCTTTGTACAGCATTCATGCAAAGTACTTGAATCAAATATAAAAAATATGCTACCTATGGTTAGAATTTAATTTTGCGTGTGTACATAATCATACCATACATTTTCACGTCTTATAGATGTTTTGTGCAGGTTGTCCTCTTGCTGTTTTTGCAGTCCCTGCTAGCACTGGGTTACAGATTTGAGTTGCTCATCTTTGGTGTATATTTCTATGCAGCCGCTAATGTACACACCGTGTGGGCAAGTTTTGTGGTTGTACTTTGTCCAGAAAACTTGCATCTGTGCGGCCAAGGTGCACTGCTCTATTTCTATGCACTTTTAGCTAGGTCTGGAGCCTCTTGTTACATGATCCCGTGCTTTCTGCGTTGGGATGGTGCTGGAACCAGGGAATACAATCTGACTGTTTGATCCTGTTTTCTCTGTTCCTCCCCTTCTTCCAAAGTCTCCAATCCATCTGCTGATAGTACAGTGCCAAGGAGGCACTCTGCACATGCTAAGTTTGGTGTGTATTGCTAGAGAGGTTTTTTTTTTTAATTGGGAGGGTGTATGTTATCAGCATAGTGCAAATCAGCACTGTCCAGACAGAGGGTCAGGGGTCATGCAGCCTCATAGAACAGGCAGAGGAGAATGAAAATTCCTCCTACAAGCTTCAAAAAGTGCTCTGCTGGATACTGATAGAAGTCACAAGACTGCTCTAACTGCTGATGAGAAAAGGTATTTGGCAGTTCATATTTGCTAAAATAATTGCATTTCCATGTACTGTGTACTGTGGGAGACCAGATATAGTGAATGCAGGCTCCGGGGAGACCAGATATAGTGAATGCAGGGTCCGGGGAGACCAGATATGATGAATGCAGGGTCCGGGGAGACCAGATATGGTGAATGCAGGGTCCAGGGAGACCAGATATGGTGAATGCAGGGTCCATGGAGAGCAGATATAGTGAATGCAGGTTCCGGGGAGACCAGATATGGTGAATGCAGGGTCCGGGGAGACCAGATATAGTGAATGCAGGGTCCGGGGAGACCAGATATAGTGAATGCAGGGTCCGGGGAGACCAGATATAGTGAATGTAGGGTCCGGGGAGACCAGATATAGTGAATGCAGGGTCCTGGGAGACCAGATATAGTGAATGCAGGGTCCGGGGAGAGCGGATATAGTGAATGCAGGGTCCTGGGTTTAGTAACACTTTACGTGCAACTACTTCAGTATACAAACTGTTCACATTAACCAGTAGCATATACTGTATGTTCCTAATAATAAAAATGATGTAACAATAAATAGGAAATATTAAGGTCCCATTCACACTATTGCAATGTTCAAGAACATTATAATTTTGTTACAGTTCTGTCCCATGTTGTTATGTGCTTTCTAGCCATAGTTATGAGGACTGATTTGCCTTCCATCCCTCCTGCCACGGCTGGTCCAACAACAGCTATGAAGGAGATGGCTGATTCATTATTATTATACAGGAGTTATATACCGCCAACAGTTTGCTAAGCACTTTACAATATAAAGGGAGATAATACAGCAACAATACAGTTCAATACAAGAGGGTTAGGAGGGCCCTGGTCCTTGGAGCTTACAATCTAAGATTCATAAGGGCAGCTTGTCTTGGCTGTGAGCACTTTCCACAGTCCACAGTCAAGCAGCGGCAAAAAGATTGCAGCGGGAGTAGGGACATCTCAGGCTCTGCAGTCTTCTTTCCACAACTTGATGTTCACACCCGAGACAAGATGCCCTTATGAATCAGTCGTCTCCTTTAAAGCTGTAGTGGGATTGTCCATGACAGAAAGGGAGGCATGTGGCTTCTCATAACTCTGGCTATAACACTTATCAATGTCAGAACGAGTGCTACATGTACTTTGTCTCATAGGGGACAGAACTGTAACAAAAAGTATCATGATAGATCTTCTTTAGGCTTAATGTTGAATGTTACCCCAACCTTGCCAATGGACGTGCATTGCAGTGCACCACAATACATGGTATTGGTATAAAAAAACAAGCGCACCTTTTTGATGCATTGGCAATTGAATGGGCTGCCTTAATGCATCACACATGAATGTATGCTAAAATGTGCGTTAATGCACGCGGGAACACATTGCCACAGTGTGAGCCCAGCCTTAAATTGAAAAAACTTGTTCTGTGTGGTTGTTGTTAAATGGTTCAGCATTGACAGTACTTGTCTTGCCCTGCACTAAAAACAGATTCAATTGAAACATAACAGCATGACCCTATGAAAGCTTTCCGCCAAAGTTGTTTTTACATTTGTGAATGTGCAGATGGCATTGATCAGACTGGTATAAAGCATATTTTTACTTATGAAAACATTTCATGTTTTTTTCAGTAATCACATTATTAGCAGCCAAAGGTCTTTTTTTTTCATGTAAGATTTTGTAGCCTAAAGGCCTTAGCCGGCTTACAGAAAGTACCATTTTGAAATTTTTGAAGATCATTTCCTTCAAGTTTGAAATTTCTTGATGCATTTGACACAATTGTTCTCAAAATAACTTCTTGGTCTCTGCTGGGGAAAAAAAACCCTGTATTCAATAAAATGCGATGTGTTGTGCCTCTTTCACTTCCTAGAAAGAAATTCCCTGTAATATACAATAGATATATTTCTATCATTATCAACTTTGACACTGTAAAGAAGCTATGTATCTTCTTCATCATTGCCCTTTAAACACTCCCGCATGTAGCTTTGATATTCTTTCAGTGCATGCCTCGTTTTTCAAAGGTTTTGCCAGCAGTTTGCACAACTTTTTTGGGAAATTCCCAGTGGTGTCGTGCAATAAAAGGACATGCAGTGTAGAGGTCAGCGGTCTTATATGCCTCCATAAAAAGCAGGGGGTATTTGAGGATTTTGCCCCCACATGGGACTACTGGCCATGTTTGATGTCATTTCCGGTTCAGCCAGGTATGACATTGACTTCCACACTATATCCTTCCAGCACTTTAGGTTGCATTGTCATGTGGCTTCCTGTCCAATATCTTTGGGGTAATCAATTATAAAAGAATCTGCTTGACATTGACAAGGTGCCATAGTAGTAAGAGTCAACTTTTTGCTTAAGAGTAAAATCTACATCACCAGGGTCTGCAGCCAGGAAATTGAAAATTAAAATTCATTAAACAGTTCATACAGTTTGCGTTGATGGTAGTTTGCAGTGCATGCTGGGTTTTTGCACAGGAAAGCCCAGTACTAGCATTGCATATGCTGACTGCTCCTGCAGAATGCGAATCCATATTCATGTTTTTGTGGCAGCCTGCGCAGATATCCTAAAAGTCTATGGACAGGAACCTCAATTCTTTAGAGGCAGATGTCTTTTTTTTGCTTTGGTTACTCTATTGGGCTGTTGTAGATGTTCACAGAGAAGGGGGGTGCCAGAAAGCTGGATTCATAGAAGATATAGTTTGAAAAATTCATTTCTATAAGGACTTTTTTGGGGGAATGTTAAAAAGTATTAGCTTGAAAGCATACAAAGCTACACTGATGAATTATAAAGCAAAAAACACACAGGAAGCCTCAAACACGAGTTCATTACCACCAACATGTTTATTGGATGCAAAAATCAATTATATACTTACAAAAATAGTAGGAAACAAGCATATCAGAAGTCAACTCCAGTCTTGAGGTGATGGTGTCTGACCATGTACGACACAGTTGGAAGGTAATGTGTTTTGGGGGCCGCACCCCCTTACTTAGAGCTCTGAGGAAGGGGGTGTTTTTGCAGTGTTGGAGATTACTTGCATCAGACGAAGCATTACAGTGACACCATTGGATGCACTATTGCCTGCAGACTGGAGTGTTTGAATTTTATTTTTTTATTAATGAATTATACCTCACATATTCGCTGGGCCATAGGAATTTTCCAAAAGCTTATGTATGCTAATAGACTTTGGTTTATGTTCTGTTTAATGTCTACATCATTAAGCTTTACGTCTATCTTGTCACATAACATTTGTTGACGAGGAGGCTGGGAAAAGTCCATACGTGAGCAGAAGTCTTGATTAGGCCATGAAATTCAAGGTTGCACCAATCATTTTGTATAAATATATACTTATCATATGTTTACCCTGGGGGTACGTGGGACTGTTATAATAGGAAATTTGTTAAACAATTGCTTTGCTTGTTGTAACAGAGTCTCTAGGCCAGAAAATCCAGGTGGACATTACTAGTTTATATAACATAAACCGTGGCAATGCAGGGGTATGGCTTGGGAAACATTCAGGGATGAAACTAGATCTTCTCAGCTACCTGAGCCTACAATCTCAAACATTTTTGGATGACAATTGGGTCACCCCTAGATCCTACACCTTTAGTTTTAAGCTGTGACAAGTTAGAATATCAATACATATAGAATGGGAGTCTTATTTTGAGCCTATTGTCCATGTAAGAAAAAATCATGGGAACCTTAATTCTGACATTACCAGAAAAATTGATCTGGAGGACTAGATATTTTGGGCCGATTCCCATCATGAAAAAGCTTATATCAAAGTAATTTCTCCATCTTAATGAACAATTACACAGTCTTGACTTTTTCTGTAAAATTCTCACCTTCAGAATCATCTTGTTGGTCCTTAAATGTGATAGGAGGCTTCAATGAATAATAGTTAAGTTTCGGGAGTGGAAGAGAGGAAGCTTAGCTTTTGCAGAACAAGTCAAAAGATTAGAATATAACTTTAGATTGCTGTATCTCTGAATCTGCTGATGGTTTTGATTTCTGTTTTTTTTTTTACTGAAGGTTGTCCATTTTTCCATCATATGCTCATTTGGAATTGCCCAGATTTGTGATTGCTTTATTTTAAGGCACCTAAATACATGACATACAAGGTTCTCAAATGACTTCTGGGCTTGGCCAAGACCATGGGGGACCTGGGACCTTCTACAACATGGTAAACAAAGTCCCGTCAGCCTTGTCCTTGAACATGTGCATGGCTGTGTAAGCAAAAGAAGAAACTTGGGACTTAAAATATGAAATCATATATTAAAAGTAATGCAGGTTTAGAAAAATAGCATTCATTCACCCAGTTGAGTTTATCTTTAGGACGTCCAGCCCTGTTGGAAAGCAAGCAGTTAAGCAGCCTTTGCAAAGTTGATCAGCAAACTAATTTTACAAAAGAAGCTGAACATTTGTCTGGGAAATTTCCTACTTTCACAGTTGCCATGGAAACTGGAGAGTTTTGACTAGTGGCATAATAGCTGGTTTAGCTGTGAACTATTATAAGGTTCTGTATGACAATAATCTGAAGTATATAGCATCCAAAAACAAAGGAGAGAGAATACAGTGCGATGCCATGCGGTTGTTAGGACAAATCTTTTCAACTTTTTTGGGACTTGGAGACAGGTAGAACTGAGTCATTGTGTTTGTGATATCTCTGCTTTTCCATAGCGGGGAGGGGTGTGCTGCTGTTTTCACAAACTAACAGAGATGTATATCAGTGTAAAGTTTTTATTATAGCAGTTTTTATTGTTGAAGGTTCGGTCGCAACGGATGCATCGTCATACATTTTCCAGACTGTTGCATTGTGGAACATTGATTAAAAAGAAAAAAATCTGCTCATTGCATTTTTGTTGCAAAGATTTGCTTTTTTTTTACAAACAAATCAGCTGAACTAGACCTTTCAGATATGCAGTGTGCAATGCCACATGCATTCACACATCATGCACTTTTGATTATAATCAGCATTCGAAGATAAATCTAGACATGTTCATTACAACAATATTGACAATTTTTGTTGTTAACACTGAACTCTAATTTTCTGTTTAAAAAAAAAAAAGCAGCTTTTGCTGCAATACTCACCTTCAATCTGTCTCTGTCCCCTGCAGTAATTTTCTTTCTGCCACTGGATGGTGCTGTTCTTTCAGATTGAATGATGTCCAGCATCATTTTGCCCACTTTCTGTGAGCTCAGATTGTCATAAACACGCTCCCTGGGGGCAAGTCCCCATTCCGGCCTGTACTTACAGCCAGTGCCCGGACAAGGTCATCCAGTGCTAAGGGCAAAGATGCCAATGGGTCATGATGTGTGAGCTCAGAGGATCTGCTTAGGGGGTGCACAACCTGCACCTCTCTCCTCGCTGCTCCCAGGCCTCTATCACTACTCCTGTCAGCCTTGTAACAGAAGAAACTCAACACCGGATGCTCCAATCCCTGCAATAAACCATTGCCCCCCTTCCTGCCCACCCCTTGTTCTGGCCCTGCTGCACAGAACACAAAACTACATGAGGGCTCTTCACATTGAAGTGAGGACTGCCTACTGCTCCTGCTGGATAGCAAGAGGAAGAACCCATGATGTCACATGACTGGCCAGAAGACATCTGGATTAAGGGTACATATAAAAGTTGCTTTAAAGACTTCTGGATTAAGGGCATTTATTAATTTTCTTTTTTTATTTGGTGATCTAAAAATCTAAGTGATCTTAAAAAGTTAATGTAGTGGAAGAAAAGGGACAAGAGATTTTTTCACTTTCAAAAGGGATTAAAGCCCATCTTCGGGCAAAAAAAAAGTGTTTTTGTCTAGGGGAGAGGAGAAAAGAGATATACTTACCTAATTTTCTGATCTTCTGATCCTTCCAGCACAAGACTGGGCCAGTTCTAGCAGTTTTGAGTTTTGGACTGGAAACAGTCCACCACTGGACCGAGGGAGAGCGCCGTTTTCTTGTGGAATGAAGGATAGGGTGAGTATAAGCCTTCTCCTCACCCCTAAAAAAAACAAGCACTTTGCCCATGCAGTGATGGCACAGCCCCACTGAGAACTTTTTTCTTTATTAGCACAAGACTGGCCTGGCTCCAGTGGTCTTGCGTTTTGGACTGTTCCTGATATCATCAAGCCCAGAACAGACTTCATGGACCAGGAACAAGCAGTTGGCACATGCAGTGCTGGCGCAGCCCCACTACTTGGGAAAACTTTAAACTGGGGAGCTGGAATCCTCCCAGCACAAGACTGGTCCAGCTCCAGCAGTCTTGAGTTTTGGACTGTTCCTGAAGTCATCAAGCCCAGAGCAGGCTTCATAGACTGAAAACAGTCCACCGCTGGACTGAGGGAGCTTTCTTCTCACCCCTAGACAAAACAAGCAGTTGGCACATGCAGTGCTGGCACAGCCCCACTACTTGGGAAAACTTTAAACTGGGGACCTGGAATCCTCCCAGCACAAGACTGGTCCAGCTCCAGCAGTCTTGAGTTTTGGACTGTTCCTGACGTCATCAAGCCCAGAGCAGGCTTCATAGACTGAAAACAGTGCACCGCTGGACTGAGGGAGCTTTCTTCTCACCCCTAGACAAAACAAGCAGTTGGCACATGCAGTGCTGGAACAGCCCCACAACTTGGGAAAACTTTAAACTGGGAACCTGTCAGCTGTTTTAATTGAAGTCTCGCACCTTTTCAACACTTTATAGTCCTGTGTGTTATGACTTGATACTGGTCATTGCATGGAGCGTGTCTTAAAATACCTTTCTGTCTCAGTAAATAAGGTTGCTACCTGTTCTCCTCCAGTGCTCTGTGCTAACATAGCTGAGTAGTGGTAACACCCCACATCACAAGTGTCATCACACAAACCTGTGTTGCAGAGGAGAAGCGGGGGCGTGTCCGACCACTTAGGTGTTTAACGGGCTGCAAAATCATATTTTCACAACTGCTGTAATAGGAAGATGGGGGCAAGCCTACAAAAGTAGAGCTTGTTAATATAATGTTTATATATTTCTGAGACTTCCAAAGGCCTTTAAAGTTCAGTTGTAGCCAGGGGCGTACTGACAACTCATGGGTCCCCGGGCAATAGGGGATCATGGGGCCCCTGTGTCCTCCCCCAACTCAAACCACACCCAAAAAAAGCCTTTGAAAGGTACTAGGGGCATCTCATGGGGCCCCCTACTGACCCTGGGCCCTCGGGCAGCGCCCAAGAGCCTGAATGGTCAATCCGCCCCTGGTTGTAGCATTTACTATGTAGCATTAGCACTCCATCATCTGTTTTATGAGTTGTCTGGTGAAGCAAATTTTCATCAGGTTTTCTAGACAGCATTATTTTCCAATATTACATCTGGAGAGGCGATGCCTGCACATCCCCAGCACAACAAGGAGAGGAAATTGAAAGTTTTAATGAAATCACATTTAGCTTATCAGATTGGATACAATGGTATGATTGAGCCTCAGTCATCTGCGTCTGTTTGTGTCTCATTAGGTACCTTCTCTTGGTCTTGTAAAAGTCTGTTTCATAACAAGCTGTTTTTCAGAAGACTTAGCCCAAATTTTACAGCTTAGCGGATCAGACTTCCTGAACAGCACATTGCTGGCAGTTTATTGAAGTAAATGGAGCGTACACTGACCTACATTACAGTACATTTATTAACTCTGTACGGTTGGCGTGGATAAGTGGCATGCTACCTTAGCTGCCCTCCCGCTGTCAGCATTTTTAGTGTTACAATGCCGTACAGGTCTGGGAATTTCTGGGCAGGTTGGTGTATATCTGCTGCTCTGTGATCATTCTTAAAATGGGCCTTTGGTTGGTAGACAGGGCTATGTCATCATGGAGGAGCATACAAACTTTCAGCGTCTTTCCCCACGGTGGAGGTTTTGGTGTATTTTAGAAGGGTGAGGTTAAAGGGAATTTCTTATGAAGCATTATAGCAATGCTAGAAGGCTCTGGGCATTTCCCAAAATTCTCTACATCTACGGCAGGAAGGCTGATCTTGTTCAGTATGCATCTGAAGCTTCCAACACCAGTATTTTCTTCCCTTTTAAAGCATCACGTAACCAAAACTGATATTTCTCTGTTTGGTGGATGCTGGAGAGTTCAACCACCTCTTACAGTCTCCTTTATTTCTGGTGGTAGGTGAGATCTCACTAAGTTCTCATGTCTGCACACTTGCTGTGGCCATCATAATGAGT